TATAGTAATCCTACTTCATTAACATAATAAAGACAGCCCATTTCCAAATGGATTATATCTATAGGTATTGGGGTTTAAGATTTACAACACATACTTTTTTGGGGACATAATTTAATTCATAACAAGAAGCTTGCACTTTTATTCTGGGAGGGAAATGTGTTCAGTTGTAATTGTAATGTAACTGCAAATACAGTGTAATTGTAAATCATTCCATTGTAAGTGCACGTCAACCATTCACTTACTTGAATTATGTAAATACGTACTCTGCACTTCACTCCTACCACCTTTGCATTTTTTCTCTTTTGAGGCTCAGGCAGGCAGTTGTGTTTTAGAGTCGGAACACCTTGTGGCATCTATGGTGTTTCTCTGCTTGGTGGACTGGTTCTGCTATTGTCAGAGTGGTCTCCATAAAGTGCTTCTTATTTTATCTTGAGCTCTCTTGAAATATTGACTCCAGATTTTGTAAAGGGAGAGCACTGTACATTCGTTGTATTAACTGCCCTTATTTTATAGCACCCTTGCATTGCTTGTTGGTATTTGCTAAGTGTGAGTTCATATTTGCTAGTTTTTGTTTTCCTCTTTCAGCAATATGTTACGTTGCACGATATGGTGGCAGCTCACAGTACTGTGAGAGTTTCAGTTTGCAGAGTAAATGAAGGTAAGTGCTGTAGGCTACTGTTAAAAGAAGAAATAAAAAAGGATTAAGTTCTAATGTTTGAAATGATTCTAATTAATTATATACATATGATTTATTTTTCTTTTTTTTATGATTTATTTTTCATAGCATTTTTTATTGTAGGATAATACCTGTAACAGTATTTGCCATTTTAACCATTTTATGTGTACAATTCCACAAAATTAATTTTTGGGTTTTTTTTTAAGAATTAGAAATATATGTTTGGGTTTATACTCTTAGCTTGTACCATATTTATTCATTTATATAATAATTGTGTTTTCCTGTAATGTGAGCAGGTATTATGATCAGCTTTGGGAATGTTGTGGTTTTCAAGGCTGTCATAACCCTATGCCTTATTTGAACTTCAGTCTCATTGGAAGACAGGTGATAGATAGAAAGTAACAGTAAAGTGTTGGAAATGCTGTGGCAGGGAAAGGTCAGAGCACAGACATGACTTTCCCTGCCGTGGACATCTTGGAATTTTTAAGTAGTGACAACTCAGCCAGATAAGAGCTAGGTGAGAGATTGTAAGATGGACTGGGGGTGGGGGAATAGTGCTTGGCATGCCCGGAGCCTGGAAACCAGAGTACTTGGGATAACTGAAGGAAATCCTTTGTGGTGGATACAGTAGCTATATCATGGAAGCCCTAATGAGCACGTTCAGGAATTTGGACTCAGTTCAAAGGCAGTGGGAAGCCCTTGAAAGATTGTAAGCAGGGGAATAATATCCTATTCACCTGCTTATAAGGATCATTCTGATTGCCATGTTCAGATTCGTGTAGAGAGGAGGAATCCTGTGGGCATGACTTGGGTCAAGGTGGGGGTTGTGGAGATGGAGAGAAATGAGGTGGGTTTGAAAGATACATTAATGTTGGTAGTGAGAGGACTTGGCAGTTGGTTGGATGTGAGGTGTCGGGCCGGAGTGATGTGAGGGAGGCGGCATTGTTCCTCAATAAGCACAAGGGAGAAGCCTGCCTGTAGAGAAGGTCAATGCTTTGGAAATGTTAGTCCGTGTGGTTAGATGTTCAAATGGAAAACAAAGGAAAGGGGGGAAAAAAATGAGGAGCGTGGCCTCTTAAGGCAGTAGTCACTGTGATTTATTAGAATGCCTCATATTGGTATTTATCAGAATACCAAATGGCCTCTATTTACTTGGTTTATTTTAGAGCACATTCAGATGTAAATACAATTTGTCTTAGCATATTGTGCTTTCTTCTCTGTGCCTCCTTGTCACTTGCACTCAAGCTGTGAGGCTCTGCCACCCTGGCCCCAATGTTAGGTGTGAAGCTTATTGATACTCCCTTTCTTTTCCACTCACTGCTGCTTCAGATCCAGGGATGCTAGAAAGGCATTTCATTCAACTTGTATTGTCCTGATCTCCTTTGGATAATCTAGCATAGCGTTGGGGTGAAGAAAGAGTGATAGAACTTGCCCAGATGGCTAAGATGGTTGATAGCTAAAATTGTAATTTAAAAAGGAAGACTAACTAGCAGCTTTAAATGAGGGACGTGCACCTGTTTGTTTGGTCAGGGGAGACTTGGCATCATCTGTGCTCATGTGGAGTCCCATTAGGAGACAAACTAGCCGCTATAAGTAAGCACCATGCCATATCAGCCTAAGGAAGAATAATCTCCTTGTGGGAACATTTCACTTATGGATGTTTTTATTTATAACCTCATATTATTATTATTAACTCATTGTTATGATCAAATGCCCTTTAGATAGCTCTTTTGTTAACAAACATTCTTTTCATGTATATATACATATATATCTCCTCCCCTATTTTCTTTAAATTTAGAAATAGAAGAGACCTTTTCGACAGAGCTTGTGCCGGGAGATATCATTGTGATTCCACTAAACGGGACAGTCATGCCATGTGATGCGGTACTTATTAATGGTACTTGCATTGTAAACGAAAGCATGTTAACAGGTACACTAAACTAAATGCAAAAGTACTACATGAGTTGTTTATAATGATTGTAGGATTACATCATCTAACCTTAGCTGTGCCCTTTATATTAGTTAACTCACTGGATGAAAAAGATAGTGAAGGTTGTTTTTTTGTTTTTTAATTACTCTGAGGAAACAGAATTTTGTGTTATGCTCAGCTCTGATCCTAAGTCATTAGGCTGGTGTTGGCCATTCTTTGATCCGAGGAAATGCTTTATTGGAAGGAAAGAAAAGAAGCCCTTTGCCTGCAGATTTGGTAGCATATTGACTGCTGACATACAAAAGTGGGAGTAAAGATTTTATCTGTTTCTTACGTAAGGAGAAGTAGACTTTAGAATGCGTTCTCTAGAGGAGTTCAGAATCGAGTTAGAGCTTTATATCCTTTTTATTACATTAGTTTCACAGAATACACTTTTTTCCAGTTGTCTTAGACCCAAACTCGTGCACATTACATATTTGCCTTCTTTGAAGCACAAGTTATCAGTATTACTGAGGTTTACATTTAAATTCGCAAGAAAAGTGTCACCACATTTTAAAACAGTACTTTCTAAATTAGTTCTTAGAGATAATAGAACAGGTCTCTGGCAGCTGCCTGCTCTTCGTTGATATTATTTGAAACAAAATCATTCAAATGTACATAAGTATTACCTTTGAGTGACAGATCATTGTCTGAAATTACTGTGGAAGGTCAGATTTGATATTTTTGTTTGAGGAAATAAGCAGATAAAAATTTAATTGATAATGTATGTTGTCCACATACAAGGGGGCTATGAAAAGTTTGAGGAAAAAATTTCATTCTCAATTTCATGTTTCCATGAAATTCTTTAAGTCCTCTAATATGAGAGCTTTTAATACTGTTTTAAATAGATGGTACATTTGAAATAAAATAGAACTTTAGTTTTAAAAAATGAAGTATTTGTTGAGATAGCAATTTAAGATTCCTCGTGTTTGAGAATGATTTTCCTTCTTAGGAGAAAGTGTTCCAGTGACAAAGACCAACTTGCCAAACCCTTCAGTGGACATAAAAGGGATGGAAAACGAGGTATATAGTCCCGAGACCCATAAACGACACACTCTGTTTTGTGGGACTACTGTCATCCAGACTCGTTTCTACACTGGAGAGCTCGTCAAAGCCATAGTCGTTAGAACAGGTACAAACCTCTTTTATAAAACCTGGCCTTGCGTGTTTCCACCTATTTGATGCCAGTGTTTAAAAGGGATCCTGCCATGGGAGATCCTTCTCATTTCCTCATGAAAATATGGTCATCTCCCCTTTAATTGTTTTAAAGGGTTTAGTACTTCCAAAGGACAGCTTGTTCGCTCCATACTGTATCCCAAGCCAACTGACTTTAAACTCTACCGAGATGCCTACCTGTTTCTGCTGTGTCTTGTGGCAGTGGCTGGAATTGGATTTATCTACACTATTATCACTAGCATTTTAAATCAGGTATGGACATGAGACTTCAATAGCATTTGAGCCTTAATGATTTTAGTACATGTGTGAACTGTGGCTAGTGAGACAGGAACAACCTTTTAAGTTGAATTTAAGAGTAGCTACTTGAAGGATATAAATCCCTCCTCTGGCTGTCATGTTAATGTATTTAAATAACATTTCTAGTCATTGTAGAATGTTTGCTTGGGCAGCTCTGATTTAGAGTCTTTTACTAGTAAGAAGAAAGTGATGACCTACCTGCTGTTAACTTACCTGCCCAAAGCCTGACCTTCTCTTCTCTTTGAAATCTCTGGAATAGGGTACATACATAGTATTAAAATGATTTGTGATTGTTGAACTCATTTTCCCAAAGTAGATGATATTGACCCCTGGAGGATACTGGAGTGATCCAGGGGGGACTGGAGAAGCATATACCTACACTTTATCCTGGGTTATGGGCTGTAGTAAAAAACGTGTCTAAATGCCAGGGTGATGCTGAAGTAATTTCTGTTTTCTTTGAAGGGGTGACAGGCCAGATAAGTTTGGGGACATATGATTTAACTGAAGGCACATTTTAGAGGCCTTGCCATAGTTATTTCTGTCCTCTGTGGAAACTCAGTTTTGAACATACTTTGAAGTGTGAATGTGTAAAATATGCAGGACTATGAAAATAAAAAGTTTCTTTTAAAAATAACTCATTGCATAATCTACTGGCAGTTGGTTGAGCTTTCTATTTAGCAGAATCTCAAGGGGAAAAAAAGACATGGCTAATAGATGTATGTGTATGTGAAATTGCTTCTAGATTCTTTTACTGAAGAAATGCCATTGGTAAATATTCAATTTGGGGAGTTTGACTTTTTTCTCTTTTTTAAAAATCTTAACTATAGGTCGAAGTTGGTGAGATAATTATCAAGTCTCTTGATATCATTACAATTACTGTGCCCCCTGCACTCCCTGCGGCAATGACTGCTGGTATTGTGTATGCCCAAAGAAGACTGAAAAAAATCGGTATTTTCTGTATCAGTCCCCAGAGGATAAACATCTGTGGACAGCTGAATCTTATTTGCTTTGACAAGGTTGATTCCGCTTTATGCCATTTTCATAGTTAAATCATAGCTTTTAAATATTTAATGTTTTTTGTATTACTTGACATGCATTCTTTTAATGTTCTTTTTTTTCTCACATTACTTGGCATATGTCAATTCTGTGTCTTTCTCCTCATTTTTTTCTTTCAATTTTGAATACTTTGGAATTTGCTTATTTGCTCAAATCAGTAATTCACTCATATCCAGAATCAAGCCTTGTAATAGTAGTAGTAGTAAAACTGACATGCTCTTTCATGTTTTTGATATTATTCCTATATGGCAGAATACACATGAGTTTACTCGACTTAATTACTTTCTAGTGTAATGAAGGGGCTTCAAAAAGTTCATGGAAAAATGGGATTAAAATATAATGGAAACATTTTACAAGCTTTTTGAAACCCTCTTGTATGTTTCATGTTTGCTGTCAGATATGAGTTTTGAATTTTAATAACCAGTTCATATTTCCATCCCCACCCCCATCTCAAAATCTTCCAGTTTGTGTTCTTAGTCCAAATCCAAATCAGGATTAAGCTGATTAAAACTGATCTGTAACAGTTGTCTTTTCTTACCTCTCACCCAAATCTTTGGTTGAACAAACCACACGATGTTCATCTTGTCTTTGACCGGCTGCTAGCTTATGTTCCTCTTCCTCATCTGTTTCCAGAAACAATCCATCCTTAAATAAAGGATGCCTGTAAGGGAGGAAGTATAACTTACATAACATACATACATTACATAAATAACACACAGTTATATATATTTTGTCTCCCCTCTTTCTTTTAAACAAAGAAGAGAACATACCAAGTACTGCTTTGTTCTTTCATCTTTTAACTGAAAACATCTGAAAATTATTCTTTTCCATTGTAAAGAAGTTCTGTTCATTTTCTTTCTTTTCTAAAATAGGTAGGTATATAGTAATTGGGTATATGCAGAATAGTTTCTAAAGATACCTTTTTAAAATTGTTTCATGTATTTATTTTTGAGGTATTACATCTTTTGTGCACATGTGTTATGTTTCACTTTTTAGACTGGAACTCTTACTGAAGATGGTTTAGATCTTTGGGGCATTCAACGAGTGGAAAATACACAGTAAGTATTAACTGGGCTTGATACTTTATTATTTTCACTTAAATCTTAAAAAGAACACCGATTTTTCTGAAGTTAATAAAGACGGCATTGGCATGGCGAAATTCTCAGGGTTCTCGGCTTTTTAGTTGGACTAACTGACTGGTGTTGCATACCACAGTGTCTTGACCTTGATGGAGTTTATGCTGAGAAATAAAGTTTATATTTGTTAATTCAATCTTTTAATTAAAGTTTTCCATGAACTTTTTGAAATACCCTCAAACATGCAAAAATGCGAACCTTTTATTTCTAGTTTTTAAAATTTGAATCTGAAATGGCCTATTGGAATTTTTCCCTCACTCTTGGTATTTGTGTTATACTGTGAGTCTAATTTAGTGCATTTTCTTTTTAGTTTTCTTTTGCCTGAAGAAAATGTGTGTAACGAGATGTTGGTGAAATCCCAGTTTGTTGCTTGTATGGCTACCTGTCACTCACTTACAAAAATTGAAGGAGTGCTTTCTGGTGATCCACTTGATTTGAAAATGTTTGAAGCCATCGGATGGGTAAGTTCACTCTTTTGAAATGCAAGTGGAGCCAGAGCCAGGGAATACCAAAAATAGACTTTAGGGCCCAGGGCGTGACACCATATCAGATTTGATTGGAAAACACTCCTAAAGGTCAACAAACAGACCTTGAACTACTTACAGGTTTTTTTTGTGTGTCATTGGTTTATTGTTGTTGTTTTCTGTTGCTTTGTTGTGCTCTGTCTTGTTTTTTGTGCATAATGCAGGTCTAGCTAGATGAGAGAGGCTGGATAAACAATCTGGAGGAGAAAACAATTGACCAACGATTCCCAGGGAGCATGGGAGAAGGGGGGTAGGGGGGAGAAAGTGGGTGTTAACAAACCCAGGGACAAGAGAGCAACAAGTGATCCAAAATTGATGGAGAGGAGGGTGTAGAAGGCCTGGTAGGGCTTCATCAAGGGCAATGTAACTGAGAGGAATTACTGAAACCCAAATGAAGACTGAACATGATAATGGGACAAGAGGAAAGTGAAAGGAAATAGAGGAAAGAACTAGAAGGTAAAGGGCATTTATAGAGGTCTAAATATAGGCATGTACATATGTAAATATATTTATGATGATGGGGAAATAGATGTATGTTCATATATTTATAGATTTAGTATTAAGGTAGCAGATGGACATTGGGCCTTCACTCAAGTACTCCCTCAATGCAAGAACACTTTGTTCTATTAACCTGGCATACCATGATGCTCACTATTCCAACACAATCGCTGAAGACAAAGCGCTTGCATAAGCAGATGTGGTGAAGAAAGCTATTGGTGCCAGCTATCAAAAGATAGAGCATCTGGGATCTTAAAGGCTTGAAAATAAACAAGTGGCCATTAGCTGAGACGTCACAAAGCCCACATGGAAGAAGCACACCAGCTAGTGTGATCACAAGGTGTCGATGGTATCAGGCATCAAAGAACAAAAAATCATATCATTGTGAATGAGGTTGTATGTGGAGTGGAGACCCAAAGCCCATCTGTAGGCAACTGGACATCCCCTTATACAAGGGTCTTGGGGAGGAGACAAGCTAGTCAGGGTGCAGTATAGCAATGATAAAACATACAACTTTAGTTCTTTAATGATTTCTCCCCATCACTATCATGATCCCAATTCTGCCTTACAAATCCAACTAGAACAGAGGATGTACATGGTAAAGATAAGAACTGGAAACACAGGGAATCCTGGACAGATAAACTCCTCAGGACCAGTAATGAGAGTATCGATACCAGGAGGGGAAGGGAAAGGGGGAACCAATCCAAGGATCTACATATAACCCTCTCCTTGGGGGACGGACAACAGAAAAGTGGGTTAAGGGAGACGTCAGACAGTGTAAGACATGAAAAAATAATTTATAAATTATCAGGGGGAGGAAAATAAGCTGATACCAGGGACTCAAAAAGAAAATATTTTGAGAATGATGATGGCAACAAATATATAAATGTGCTTGACACGATGGATGGATGGATTGTGATGAGTTGTACAATCCCCAATAAAATGATTTTTGAAAAAGATGCAAGAGGATCCTGCCTTTATTGCCCCACACACACACATACACCAGCAGTCTATCTTATACCATGTTTTTGGTGGTGGCAGTTGCTGTTGAGTACCACTCGTGGTGACTGAGCAATCCTGAGTCAGAACCTCAAGCTCCTCTGCTCAATCTTGTACCAGGAGAAAAGTTAATTAGATACTTAGAATATTTCACTAGCGAAATATTTATAATTATGCAAAAAGTATCTTTTT